AAAACTTGTCAGAAGTGACTCATGCTGACAACAAAAAGGAACTAGACAGCAGATAGAAAGGACACTAAAAGGTGTCCTTTTATCATGCAGTGGTAAAGGAACCACTGCTCAGTTCTCTGACATTCTCAGAGGAGACCATTCTCCTCTGAATGCCTGTTCATGAAGCGGTGTAGCTCGCTTCTTCTAATGAGAGAGAGAAGCAATCTACAAACACTTGAAAACAGCTGCTGTTAGTGTAATCTTGTGAGATTACAGTAAGATCAGTCAAATACAGTTTAGTAAGCAGTGGTAAATTACTGTTGCTTCGTTTGCGGTTCCCCCGATTCTCCACCTCTGGGCTGAAGAATCTGGAGGGAGAATTTGCCCATAGATCACCAGTGAAGGGATGGCATTGCTCCTTCATACACTGGCCGTCTATGTGCTGAGATGATCATCAGAGAACATGTTCTCCACTGATCATCTCAGTTTCCTAACCCACGAATGATCAGAGATCACCAGGATCGTCGCTGATCTCAGTTTCATAAAAGGACACCTTTGTGCTCTTGAGACAAGTACACACTATAGAGGGATATGCTTTTTCATATTTCATGTTAACAACCACTTTAAATATTTTATACCACTGCTTATCCAATAGAATTCTCAACAGCTCTCTCTCCCATTCCTGAAGTAATTTAGGAAGTTCAGACAAAAACGTGTATTTATCCATCCATACATCTTACAAATAATTCTGCTGACCAGAGCCGCTTCTGGGCAAGGTTTCCCAAATGGGGTACAGTCATCCAACAGACACTTTCTGTTTGGTATGTATAAAATAGACTCAAATGTTTAATCTGCACATATTCCCATCTATCCAAATCAAAAGCAGACCTACTTTCTTGAAAACTTGCAAATGGGACCCACCTTTCCCTCTGAGAGGAGCCAGCTACTTATTTGCAAATCGCACATTAAACACTTTCTTCTGGTCACAGGTTCTCTTTAATAAATGTAACAAGTAGTACATCATGTACTCTGTTGGATGTAACCATGGGGACTTCTATATCTTGTACTTACTGTTGCTTTGTTGTTGTCAGTAAACGCAACTACCTATATACCTTATTCAGCAAAGTTCTGGAGCCACAAACCACTTCCATAGAATAAAATCAACTTTATTGCTCAGCACAAGCACAGACAATCAACCCAGGATCCTCCCTCTAAGGATACACCCCCTTCTGAGGCTGTATGGTTAAGGCCCAATACGGGGTGAAACAGAGGGAGGATCCTGGGTGGGGTGTGCTGAACAATAAAGTTGACTTTACCCTTTGAAAGTGGTGAGCAGCTCCAGAATGTTGCTGAATTGTGTGGAAGGAGTAGTCTTCAGAGGAGTGGGCACCTGTGAGCAGAACCAGATGATTGTGGTTTTGGGAGTGGCAGCTTCTTATGCGAGTTAAATATTTATACACAATACTTTGGTGCTGCTACAGGATCAACATAACTTTAGTTGCAAACATTGCTTGGGTAGAACCCTACTTCAGCAATTTAATGAAAAATATACACAAGTTTGTGAAGGCACAGACAGAGCCTCATCTAACGGTTTGCCCCTTCAAATTCAGGGGTGATGAGGAAATAGCTTACCAGTCCATTGTGAAGATCAGCTATTCCAGAAGTCTCAAGAGGGTCCCTAACGGAAAAAAAAAAAAAAAAAAAAAAAAAAATGCAAATTTGATTCAGAGAAAATAAATAAAAACAAACAACTTATACTTACCCGTTCCCCACCAGTTCTGTAGTGAGACCTGAGTGATTAAATCCCTGCTGATTGCGCAGTTCTCCCCACCACTCTGTCAGTTTCTGGCTCTATGCTCTGCCCCTCCAGTGCTCACTGAAGTGCAGTGGAGGGGGTGGGAACTGAACTGAAGGGCAGTGAAGGGGGTGAGAAGGGCTGGCTCAGGCTCTCAGCAGATATCCAAGAGCTTGAGCAAGGTGCTGGTCCAGGCTTCAGGGTGGATCCCAACCATATGGTCAGGATCTTTTCAGAGCCTGGACCGACTGAGTGATGTCAGCTGACAGCAGACTTTAGCTTGCCATCGTCCGAAAACGTTCACTAGGGTGCAGAATGAACTGCACTCTTATGACCTACAGGAGAAGAATAGCCAAAATAGCTTTGACTAAACTTCTCCTTTAAATCCCAATCATGGTACTACATGCACAGAGTTTGCATGTTCTCCCTGTGCCAGCGAGGGTTTCCTCCCACACTCCAAAAACATGCAGGTAGGTTAGGGACCTTAGATTGCAAGCTCCTTGAGGGCAGGGGCTTCATCTAGTGCTCCTGATGCATCACAGCTGCTGGTCCTCTCCAGCATCCTGGTTTTGGCTGCGATACATTCACCCTGCATGTCCACCTGCAAGGTGATTGATGGGGCCAGTCTCTGGGTAGAGACCAAACCTGATTTAAGCCAGCCAAGCCTGCAGTCTCATGCTTGTGATATTGTGTTTGCAAAATGTGCTGCAAGCTCCCTGTCTGTCTGTCCTGCTGTACGGATTCCCTCATTGATGACTCAGGTTAGGATATCAACTTCTCTCTGAACCCCACCTGCCTTTTGACTACGAAACTGACTCTGGACTTTCCTGAACTTTGGTTCAGTGACAGTCCAGGTACAAGGCAGGCACTCTGCCTGTCTGCGAACTGCAAGTACCTGTTTGCTGTGCTCAGTTTGCTTGCCCCAGCGTGGTAGCCAGGCACTGTATATAAGTCCTGGGAGCAACAGAGTACCGGTATGCCCATTTGCCTTGTGGGAAAGGGGGCTGCTAGAGGTAAAGAAGGTCAGTAGCCAGACCTAAACCCAGTAGCTCTCCCCCACCTTGTGTCTGTTTGCCCTATGTTGGCATTGTGTTCAGAGTAGCATTTGCATAGGCAGAGCAGAGAAGGACTGGCCAAAAGGGATTACTTTTTATTGAAGTTTGCTGGAAAGGGTATATAGCAGTTTGCAGAGGGTTCTTTCAGAATTTCTAATGCTATAGGTAAAAAAACTCCGAAGCCAGCTATAGTGTCTGACCACCTGTGTTAGAACTAAGCGTGACAAGCAGGTAGTAATGTCAGGTTAGAAGGCACCCCTACGGTGCCCATTGTATTACAATACGGTTACTTTGCTGCTTATTAAGATGCTTCAAAATTTAAGAGCTTACAAATAGCTGGCTCTATCATAAGATAACTGCCTCTAACCAAAGCCACCAACAACTATGATTGGCATCCACTGCTCACTGAGCTGCAACAGCAGGCTGATCACAGACGAAAGTTATATGCTGGAGGCCTCGTTTATTGAAAAAGTGATGGCCAGTCACAATTGTATAGATCACTATGTGAGAAGCATTTTGCAACCATAAGTTGTTCATTACCTTTTTGCTTCAACCCCACAGGATTCAGGCACTTTCTGAGAAATTAACGGTCTTTTAACTGCTGCTATATTTTGTTCAGAAGCCTTCTGATATCGCATCAAAGCGGCATATCTGCAAACAGTAAAAAGTAAGTACTGTAACTACAGTCTTTGCAAAAGAAAAAAAAAAAAAAAAAAGTAAACATTTTTGGAAACCTCAAATCCAAAGCTAAAATCAGGCTGCATTCACACTTGAGCTGAGCCTCTTCGATCATTTTTACAGACCTAGCACATGTGTTTTTGTTGGCGTCTTTGATGGTTTCTTATTTTAACTATTTTCTGATTTGCACGTTTACATGTTTTTTTCTGGCCATTCAATTGAAGTCTATTGGGGCTAAAAGAGCTTGAAGCTTGTAGCTCAAAAGAAACTCCTGTACGGTTTCATGCTACAAGCTTCAACCTTCAAGTGAACATGCACAACTGTATACCATGGGATTTTTCAGCTCATGCCTTTTGGAATTATAACCTGCAAAACACTAAAAAAAAGGTGTGAAAGGGGTCTCAAAGCAACCATTACTGAATTACATTTTGTTTTCTAAATTACTGTGTATCATACAATTGCAATAATTTTTAAATAAAATACTTGTTTTCATGTTTTAATTTTTGCACCCTTCGCTGCATCTCAAAGCAAATATCCTGCCGCCACTTCCTGTCTAAATGCACAAATTGCAGTGATAGCTGCATTGCATTTCTTAGTTCATGCCAGCATAATATACCTTTAAAAGACCAATTGAAGACTCCTTGAGAAACATGTGTGACAGAGTAACACAGGAGGGATGGATCACCAGATATTTGAAGCAATGCAAACTGACCTTTTGAAAATACACTAACTTGTTAAAGTGTTGCTAAACCCAGGACCCTGCAATCACTATATTCGGTCTCCCACAGTACACAGGACATGGAAATACAATTATTTTAGTAAATATAAACTGATAAACACCTTTTCTCATCAGCAGTATATAGCCGTCTTGTGACTATCAGTGTCCGGCCAAGTACTGGGTAATCCTGTAGGAGGAGTTTTCATTTTGCTCTGACTGTCCTATGAGGCTGCATAACCCCAAATCAAAATGAACATGTGCAGAGTGACTCTTGAGCTCTGTACTATTAGCAGATAGACTGGGGACAGTAGGACAGGAGGATCAGAGAACACAGGATCAGTTTTTTGTTTTAAACACAAAGTATTAACCCCTTAGGTTCTACAGTGAGTATAACAAGCATGCTTTACTGCATTTACAGACTGAGTTTACAGTTATGAGATTAGTAACACTTTAAAGCTCATATGACATTTTCATGATTTGGTTTACATGTAATTAAAACACCTTACATATTTGAGCAAACACTATACAGTTCACTTAAACAGAAAACTAATCTAACTAAAATATCTATCCATCCAATGGATATGACAGGCTAGCTTTTTTCTGTAAAGAGCCTTATGTTATATTACATATGTTCAAATTTCTCTTCTGTTTAAGCCTTCCTTTTGATTTTCCATTTTTTTTCCATTAGGCTGATCCTACCTTAGGAATAGAGTGGATATTGAGTGCAAACTCTGTAGCCAATCATCTTCTCTTTCTGGAAAATGACAGAGCAGACTCACCCAGCTTTTGAAAGTGCTGGTCCTGTGGTCTTGCAGTCATGATCTACTGGGTGTCTATGAGATAGGCAGAAATTATTGCGACACTGATCACATTCAATCTTCATCAGCTCCTTCTTTCTGCATCCTGGTTTACAGCAACGATTTGTGAAAATCTGGAGATTAAGTAAATTTGAGAAGTTAAAAAAAAATTATGAAAACCACAAAAAGATAAGATCATTCTGTGTAATACCTTGGCACTGTGTGTGAGCAAATGGTTATGAATGCAATATTTTCTGCATAGAAGCTAGCAGTATACTAATATCAAATTTTCCTCACAATGGCTATAGCAAGTAGGAAGAAGTCCTCTGGAGTTATAACAGTGGATAATGTTTTGACCGGTTATTGACTTACAACAGTAACCGGTTTGGGTAAAATGTTCCCGTTCTATAAAAAATAAGGGTTCAGTATATACTCATATAGAAATTAGCAGGTATAGAAAACATTTTTCCTGTATAGGTAATAAACCTTCACAATAATTACCAGTGTCTATACTAGTGGTGCACACAAATGGCTATGGTGCTGTAACCAGCTACTATAAAGCCCAGCCACAGTCCAACCCTTAGATCAGAAGCTGAATGGAACGACTCCTGGGATTGCATTTCAGTTATTAAGCCCTCCAAATAAGTCCTTCATGGCAGAACAATGCTTCACTATTAAGAGTGTCATAATGTAATGCTCTCTTTCTTTCATTCCAAAAAAAAGGGTAAAAGTAAAATACATCCAAATTTAAAAATGAGAGCCAGCCACTTCCCCTCTCACACCTATTCACCCCTTATGGAGGATTTTTTTTACATTTCTGATATAGACCTGTTTATTTGGTGATAACTTTGTCATTACAATACTTAAGATAAAAAAAACAAAAAAAACAAAATATATGTATTACGTTGTTAAGTACAAACAAGGTCTTCTTTTCGTGAATATGGTCTTGCAACAAATGATTGATTTTTCGCAATCATTAGACAATAAATGTAACAAAACGCGGTTCTTTGAGTATTGTTAGTTTAAAAATAAATATTGTTACTTCACATAAAAAGTGTGCATTTTATTCTGTAATTTGTCCTGTTTAAAATTACATAATTATAATTCTGGCACAAAGCACTGGAGAGTTATTTACAAATGAAGTGTTTTTTTTTTTTTTCAATGCGATACGTAGAAATATATGTTAACCGCTTACCGACCACCTTATAGCAGAAATACTGCTACAAGGATGCAGGGGTGTGCAAAAATCACACACGAGATTTCAAAGATCGCCTAAAGGCAGACAGGGTGGGGGCGGACCGGACATGCTGTGGTATGGAGTTCCAGAGGATGGGAGAGGCTCGGGGGAAGTCCTGGAGGCGAGCATGGGAGGAGGTGATGAGGGAGCTAGAGAAGAGGATACCATGGGAGGAGCGGAGTGGGCGATATCTGTGGATGAGGTTGGCGATGTAGCTAGGGGCAGTGCAGTGGATGGCTTGTAAGCTGTGGTTAGTATTTTGAATTTTATACGGTGGGTTAGTGGAAGCCAGTGGAGGGATTGGCAGAGAGGGACAGCAGTCACTGATCGGTTGGTAAGGTGTATGAGTCTAGCGGCAGCATTCATAATAGACTAAAAGGGGGATAGCCTGTGTAACGGTAGACCAGTGAGGAGGGAGTTGCAGTAATCGAGGCGGGATATAACCAAGGCGTGGATGAGTTGTTTTGTGGTGTCATTGGTCAGGAAGGGGCAGATTTTGGAAATGTTCCGGAGGTTGAGGCGGCAGGATTTAGCCAGTGAGTGGATGTGGGGCCCAAAGGAGAGGTCAGAGTCTAGGATTATGCCTAGCACCCTGGCATGAGGGGAAGGACCAAGAGTTCTGCTGTTGATCTTAATGGTAAAGTCATGAGTGGGGGATCGGGGAGGAGGAAATATTACTAGCTCAGTTTTTGAAAGATTGAGTTTAAGGTAGTGATGTGACATCCATGCCGATATGTTGCTTAGTAGATTTGTGATACGTGAGGAGATTGAGGGGGTGAGCTGGGGAGTGGAGAGATAGATCTGGGTGTCATCAACTTGGAGGTGGTATTGGAAGCCATGGGAGGTTATCAGTTGGCCCAGGGAGGAGGTATAGAGAGAGAAAAGGAGCAGCCCAAGAACAGAACCTTGGGGTACCTCAACAGAAAGAGGAGGAGTTGTATGACACTGAAAGTGCGCTGAGAAAGGTAAGAGGAGAACCAGGAGAGAGCAGAGTCATGGAGGCCGATGGAGTGGAGCTTACTGAGGAGGAGAGGGTGGTCGACTGTGTCAAAGGCATCGGAAAGGTCAAGCAGTATGACTATGGAGTAATGGCCATTGGTTTTAGCAGTTAGTAGGTCATTAGTGAGTTTTAGTAGGGCAGTTTCTGTGGAATGTTGTGGGCGGAAGCCAGACTGTCGGGGATCAAGAAGGTTGTTGTCGGTGAGGTAGCAGTTCATAGGGTTGTGAACAAGGCGCTTGAAAGCTTGGAGGCAAACAGGAGCAGGGAGATAGGCCTTACGTTATTCAAACAGGTGGGGTGCTGCGAGGGTTTTTTTGAGGATGGGGGTAACCAGTGCATGTTTGCGTGGGGAGGGAAAGGTGCCCATGGAGAGTGAGAGGTTGAAGATGTGGGTTAGAGAGTTTAGGATAGAGCAGGAAGGAGGGTGCAACAGTCTTGAGGGGACAGGATCCAAGGGACAGGTGGTGAAGTGGGCCTTGGAAAGGAGTTCGGTAACTTCCTTGGAGGTAACGGGGTTGAAGGAGGAGATTGTTGAGCCTGGTATGTTGGTTAGAGGAGGAAGCTTGAAACTGGAGATCTCATCATGAATTCACACACACACGGAAAATAAAATAAAAATACTAAAATAACAGGGCAGATATTTCTAGTAAGAAGTAATGTTTCCAGATGCAAAGTTGTAATCCAGAGTGAAGAAAACAAACCTTTTGTTTTGGCTTTGAACTGCACTTTCTGTCCATGTGTTGGCTTACTGCAATATCTGCCAGCTCTCCTTTCTTTACTGGTACAGGGGCGCCACACAGTGGACAGACAGGTACTTGCACATCCTTGAGAGAAAAAAAAAAAAAAAAAAAAAATATTAACACTGATGCATGGCATGCATACTCTACATGTGTATTGCTAGAGACAACATTACTGGAGCAGTAAATATGACATTCACCAAACATTCAATTCAGATGAATCTTCCTAGTGACTGTTTTATTATAAAAAGTGAGTAATTCACCACTTGCGAATGTTTGGGAATTAGGAAAAAGAGGACAGGAAAAAAACAGGCTAGATCTTTATTCCTTAGGCCCACACTATCTATGGGGTTGATTTCCTAAAGGCAAATAGTCTGTGCACTGCAAGTGCAGTTGCTCTAAATCTGAGAGAAACATGCAAGAATAAGACCGTGTTTTGCTTGCCCATGATTGGATGATGGAAATCAGCAGAGCTTTCCTTAATTTTTGAGCTTCCCCTCAGATCTTGCACATCATTTGCCTTGCACACTATTTGCCTTAAGAAAATCAACCCCTATATCTTATACCAGACATATATACAAAGCTCCGTACACTAGTATTTTTTTAGGCTCAATAAAATGCTGGAAAAAACTCGATAAAAAAAAAAAAAAAAAAAAAAAAAAAACCACCACTAGTACTAGCTTTTTTAGCATCGTTTTAGTAGCATTTAAGAGTACATGTACGGTAAAAATGCTAATAAAACACTACAGAGGGAAAAAAAAAAAAAAAAGCCGTTAGGAACATTTAGCTTTTTTTCTGATGGAAAAACTCTCAAAAAAAAAGTAAACAAAAAAAAAAATTCTCTTTCTGCTACTAGCCACTGAAGCTCAAAAAAAATGCTAATATCCTATGTGAACATGCACACTACTTAGGCTAACACTATTTAGCTTCTAGGAGCAGGAAAAAAAAAAAAAAATACCATACCTTGGTAAACTAAGCTAATATTTTGGTTTTATAAAAAAAAAAGACAAAAGTGCAACCCCATAATGTAGCATTAAAAATAAATGGCAATTTATTAAACAGAAATGCACTCACAAATTTACACGTGTATGGCATGGCATGGCATACAGAGGACTTGGCAGCCAGAAATCCAGCAGCCTTGGACATCGGCTGGGGATGATGCATGCTGAAGGTAAAGGAAGTCGCTTGTCACTGCGTGGGTGATCAACCCACGACTGGAATCCTCAACATCAGTGTAGACACACATACTGCACCCTGTGCACAATTAATAGGCTAGTCCAGGGGCGGGCAAACTTTTTGACTTGAGGGCCGCAATGGGTTCATATATTGGACCCGGGGGCCGGACCAAGAGTAGATGAATGATGTGTATATGTCATCCATAGTAAGTATAGTAATATTCCCCCATAGTAAGCATAGTAATTCATCCCCCCATATAGTAATTCATCCCCCCTATAGTAATTCATCCCCCATATTAAGTCCCCAAGTCCCCCCTGTGTCAAATCACTTACCTTTGCTCCGCGCGTTCCTCTCGCCGTGTTCCCGCGCCGTTCTGGTGTAGCATGAAAATCTGTCTCCTATGAGGATCTGCCCCCCTCGACGTATCTGCGCATGTGCCAGTTTCAGGCATTAGCAGTCGATCAGCGATCTCCGTCACATGCGCAGATACGTCGAGGGGGACAGATCCTCATAGGAGACAGATTTTCATGCTACACCGGTCTTCAGGGCGGACTGTGAGAGGAGCCCAGCGGGAGCCTAGCTCCGCGGGCCGGATTAAAAGGTCCGCCGGGCCGTATACGGCCCGCGGGCCGTAGTTTGCCCATTGCTGGGCTAGTCAGTATTATGACCAAATCATCATTTTTGTGCATACTGTCCAATTCCAAGCTGCATAAACCTGAATACTTATTGGATTTAGGCATATCAGATGATGTGTATTTTTGCAATGAGGGAGGGTGAGGCCTATACAGATTAACACCCTATATCAAGGTGTGCATAATTATTCTTTTCCTCAGGAAAAATGGGCAAAAAAAGAGATTCAACTAACTGAAAAGTCAAAAATTGTAAAAAGGTCTTCCAGAAGAATGCAAAACTCTTGAAACTGCTAAAATATTGGGGCATGATCACAGAGCCAAGTGTTTTGTTGCAAATAGTCAACAGGGTCACAAGAAATGTGTTGAGAAAAAAAAAAGAAAAAAGAAAAAAGAACTGTCAAAAGATTTGAGAAAAATCAAACGTGAATCTACCAGGAACCCATTATCCTCTAGTGCCATCATATTCCAGAATTGCAACCTACCTGGAGTGCCCAGAAGTACAAGGTGTTCAGTGCTCAGAGACACAGCCAAGGTAAGGAAGGCTGAAACCTGACCACCACTGAACAAGACACATATGTAGAAAAACATCAAGACTGGGCCAAGAAATATCTGAAAACAGATTTTCCAAAGGTTTTATGGACTAAATGAGATAAGAGTGACTCTTGACAGATCAGATGGATGGGCCCGTGGCCGAATCAAATATGGGCACAGAACTCCACTTTGACTCAGATGCCAGCAAAGTGGGGTACTGCTATGGGTTGGTATAATTGATCGTGAGCTAGATGGACCTTTTTAGGTTGAGGATGGACTCAAAATCAACTCCCAAGCATACTGCTAGTGTTTAGAAGACACTTTCTTCCAGCAGTGGCACAGTTAAGTCTGCATCTTTCAAGACGGCCATGATATTTATGCAGGACAATGCTCCTGCGCATGCATCATAGTATACAAGTACTCCACTGCGTGGCTAGCCAGTTAAGGCCTAAAAGATGAAAGAATAATGACACGGCCCCCTTCCTCACCTGACCTAAACCCTATTTTGAAATTGTGAGTCCTTCTTAAAGCAGGAGATTTACGGTGAAGGAAAAAAGTCTCTGAACAGTGTCTGCAAGGCTGTAGCTGCTGCTGCACAAAAAGTTGATCATTGATGTTTATTATTCTCACTTTAACCATTAGCTACCCGGCCTATAGCCGTTTGGCGGCCGCAAAAATGCTCTAGCTTTCCGGGTGCACGCCATTTGGCATCCTCCCGCACATGCGCAGTTCGCACGGTTGCAGAGCCGCGCAGCGGAGTGATCTGTCAACGGCCGTGTACCTCGGACACGGCCGATGACAGATCTGAGAACCGGCCCCTGTTGCCGGTACCATGTGACCTGCTGTGACCAATCACAGCAGGTCACATGACAGTTGTATACAATGGATGGCTTCATTCATGCCACCCATTGTATACTAGTGCCTAGCTGTGAATGGTCACAGCAGGTCACATGCACATGTCATGTGATTAGCTGTGGCCAAATCACAGCTAAGCACAACAAAAAAACCAAAAAAAAAAAAAAAAAAAAACACCTGAATGAATCGATGTCATTCAGGTAAACGCTTGCTTATAGCAAAGTAATTCTTTGCTATAAGCAAATTGTGTAAAAAAAAAAAAAAAAAACAAAATACTGATCATTTCCCCAAAGTAGTACAATGTTACTATGGTAACATTATACTACTTTGGTCATAGTAAAATATGAAAAAAAAAAATCTTAAAAAAACAAAAAAAAAAAAATGTAATAAAAAATTAAAAATAAAAAAAAAAAAAAAAATGTATATACATTATATATAAATATAATTTTTTTTCATACTGTCACCAGTCAGTGTCCCTGTTCACCGCCATGCCATTTATATGATGACGCTGTATTGCACTGGTGACAGTATGTAAAAAAATAAATAAATAAATAGTGAAAATAATCTCATTTTCCGAAAAATTGTGACAAAAAAAAAAATACAACTTCAAAAAACTCACCATTCCTCTTATGAAGTACGTCGGACTGTCTACTCTGCAAAAAGTGGTCATTTGGGGGATATCTGTACTATTCTGACATTCTTGGACCTCAAGAAATTAGATTGGCTGTCAGTACTTCAGGATTGACCAATATTCAAACTATACCATAGTTTGTGAACTCTATAACTTTCCTACAAACTAAAAAATACATCCTAATTTGGGTTATTTTCACCAAAGACATGTAGTAGAATACATCTCGGCCTAAAATTTATGAAGAACAATTATTTATTTGTAAACTTTTATAACAGAAACAAAGAAAAACGTGTTTTTTTTTCAAAAAAAAAATTGTTTGGTCTTTTTTTGTTAATTTAGCAAAAAATAAAAACCCCGGCGGTGATTAAATACCACCAAAAGAAAGCTCTAGTTGTGTGAAGAAAATGATAAAATTTTAGTTTGGGTACAATGTTGTATGACCGCGCAATTGTCATTCAAAGTGTGAGAGCGCTGAAACATGAAAAATGGCCTGGGCAGGAAGGTGTAAAATTGCCGGTATTGAAATGGTTAAACAGATGAAAACCAACAAGTGAGATGGGAAACTTTTTTTCTTCATGCATAAGAAAGCCAAAACTTCACTTTTACTTTCTTTAGTATTTAGGTGTGAGGTTTATTAACATTTTGGATTGACCGAGAGCACTGTAGTTGTTCAATAATGAAATAATCCTCAACAATACAACTTGATTAATAACTGTGCACAGTGTAGACACTGGAAGCATTTTGAAGCATGTCAGGTTCTTCATTAGCATAAACAGGCTGATCCTGTCAGCACGCTTCATCCCCAGCCGGTGGCCAAGGTTGGTTGTCCTCTGGCTGCCCTTCGTACACTTCTGGTGCCAACTCACCTTTATCCCATGCCCTGCACGTCATACTTTTTTTTGCTACGCTATAGGGTTCCGCGGTTTCTTTTGGTTTCTTCCAGTGGTTGGATAGAGAGCGCCCTCTCTGGTCTTCTAGCTGCAGCTCCTAGTTTTAGCTATATTTAGCACTTTGCGCTATCCTATGCAAACCTTTTAATATTGTTGATACATCAATCGTTTTGTCATTCACTTTTTCACAATTTTCATCCCTTTTTTTTTTTTTTTTTAATTTAGTACTTTTAGTTTTTACCCATTTTCTACGATCCATTAATTTGGTAGATTTATCACAATCATCCAAGTTGGTTTATTCGGACCATTCCTGAGAGCTGTAGTTTGTCTAGGCTTGGTAAGCACATTCATTCACATATGTATTTTGGGGGAACCACAGCAAACATACCTTCTTGTATGCAGAAGCACACTTATGCTGGTCATAGGTTATGTGGTCCTTGCAAAATAGGTCCCCACAAGAATCACATTTCAGTGGAAGAAAATCTGAAAAAGAGAGACATCAAAGCCTTGTAGGTTGCATTTTACGTACTTACACATGTAGAGCATTTATGTGCATGCACATGATTTTTTTTTTTTTTTAATGGATCGAAATGCAGCACAGGTTTTTGGATCTTTATGCATTTTGTGCCAAGACTCAAAGAAAACATTAGAATGTCAATCAGATTAGAGAAAAAAAAAAAAAAAAACACAGTACTACATTTTTGGTAGCTGTGAATATTAGGTGACAAGTAGTAAAGCCCATAACCAGCCACTGCTATTACAAGATGGAGTGTCTAACAGACTAATGCAGGTCATAGATGGGCTGAAAATCGCCGATTTTTCTTTAAAAAAACTAAAAATCGGTTGTTCAAGCGGCCGATGTTACCAGGAACGGTTTAAAAAAAAAAAAAAATGGCCGATTTTCATCCCATCTACAGCGGCAAAAAGTGTCCCTGCAGAGAGCTCTGCTATTTCTTTGACAGTTCCTTGACATTTATAGCGGCTGCAACAATGTATCTATTTGTATCCATTTAGGATACGGATGTTTTTATTCGGAAACAAATAGATACATTGTTGCAACCGCTATAAATGTCAAGGAACTGTCAAAGAAATAGCGGAGCTCTCTGCAGGGACACTTTTTGCAGGACTGGAATTCCTCTTCTTCATCATCCTCTTCTTCTTTTTGTCTTCCTCTTGCTGGTCACTGCTCATGCGCAGATTTTTTTTAATCAGTAAAAAGATCGGCTGATTTGCCCATAATTGCCGCGAAAATCAGCCGATCGGCAAAATCGGCTGATTTTTTTCCAACTTTACCGATAAAAAAAAAATCTGCCAAAATACAAAAAAACAGCCGAACAATTAGCCCACGATCCGAAAATGATCCGAAAAATCGTCCGATTTTCGACCCATCTATGGCCTGCATAAGAGCCTGTTCTGACAGGCTTCAAAGCACAAATGAAGAATGCTTCAGACATCGTTTAGAAATCACTACAAGTGCTGTTAACCTTCAGCTTATTTTGTATTCCCATAGACTTGTATAGGTAGAGAGGTAGAACTGACAAGCCCATCAACACAAACACTAATTCTATATTCTGTATGCATACTAATACCTTTCCCAAAACAATCTTCCCAGAAGATTATGGAAAATATTAAGGAAAAAAAAAAAAAAAAAAAAAAAGGGGAAATCAAATCTTTTAAATCTGTATGGTCTTGCCAGACTGCATTTTTGTCAATTTAAATTCTGTCATTTTAAATTCCCCAACAATTTTTAATCTTCCTAGAATTTTGAAATAGTTCTAGTCAAAACATTTCAGACCTGTCAGGCTCTTGTTACTGTTTGTAGCCCATTTGGGGAGATTTCACCTCACTTCCTGTTCTGTCACCAATAGGTCTCGTCATAGACCTCAATAAAAATATCTTACTAGAAGATTGGGGAATGTTTAGAACATCTTCCCTGTTTTTGTTGCTGAGTGTATTCCAGATGGTAAGATTTCCTTATATCCCGCTGTGTCCACAGAACACGAAATGAGTGCATATGTTTCCAAAAGGGAATCACAGCAATAAAAACACAAAATAGATCACAGCCTTCCCTACTCTAGCTAGAACATAAGAGTGGGGGGGACGAGGGGGCTAGAGTTTAAGGTAACCATAGACAGAGAAACCAAAAGATCTCAGGATGAAGCATCCCTTTCCTGTTGGGAGGCCTTATAACCACAGGTTGAAAATGTTACAAAACCTCATTCCTCACTCCGGAAAGATCCATTCATGTGTGTAAACAGTCCTATGAAGCCTCTTCTCTGTGGCATTCGTGTCAACAGGTGCACGTTGATCTCATCAAATACAATGCAGGACCAATAGTCCTGCACTGTATGAAAATATGGTGACGGCTCACCCACAGTATAGAGTGTCGAACAAACGCCTGCTGGAGAGAGGAATAAGGCAAGCATCATAGCTTATTCCTCTACCCCTAGACTTAACCACTTCCTGTCCGGACACTTTTACCCCCTTCCTGACCAGGGCAATTTTCAGCTTTCAGCGCTATCACACTTTGAATGACAATTGCGCAGTCATGCAACACTGTACCCAAATTAATTTACCATTTTTTTGAGACAGATAAAGCTTTATTTTGGTGGTATTTATTCACCGCTGGGATTTTTATTTTTTTGCTAAGTAAATGAAAAAGTCCAAACATTTTGAACAAAAGTGTTTTTTTTTTATAAAATTTTGCAAATAAATAATATTTCATCATAAAGCTTTGCCAAAATTTATTCTGTTATCTTTTTAGTAGAAAAAAAAAAAAAAAAAATTAGTTTATAACCAAAAATTATAATTTTTAAACATTTTTTTTTTTACATTTTTAAATTATTGTTTTTTATTTATTTTTTTTTTTACATACTCTCACCCTAGCAGTACAGTGTCACCATGGTGACACTGTACTACTTGTGGGGGGTGAAGATTTTTTTTTTTACACCGATTGCTTTTACACCCATATAGGATGTAAAAGCAATCATTTCTCTTTCTCTGTGTGCATTCCTGCACTCATTGAGAAGTACTGAGTGAGCTGTGATTGGTCAGAACTTGTCACATGGTACAAGGCTGTTGTGAATAGCCTTGTACCATGTGACCTCTGTGATCATTCACAGATTTCACACGTAGTAAGCAATGATGTCACAAGTGACATCTTGCTTACTACTTTGCATGTGATCACTGATTGGCCAAACAGTGATCACATGATCGGGACCTCGTACAGAGGTCCCGTCCGACGATCGGTGTTTCACTGTGTCCGGAGGACACAGCGGGCACCGGATCGCGGTGCTGTGCGCTCCCAGGGAGCGCGCACAAGCAGGGGGCGGGAGGCCGTTTATAAACGGCCCCCCGACCCTGCACTGCCACCGTCTGGCCGTTTATATGCAACGGCCGGTCAGGAAGTGGTTAAGGAACATTTACCCCTGCCATACGGGAGGACAGGGGTCCCACTGCCAAAAGGTATTTTTGTGTAATTCCAAGAGTTCAACTTTAACAGCATGGAAATAATCAAACAGTAGAGCAAGCCTTGAACCATGTCTGCCCCTGGCTATTATGGAAGGGATCTCAGGACCACGCAATTCAAGGAGAGTGTGAAATACTCTCACCACCCATTACGATGAATGTATCTATGGCCACCCTAACCTACACCATCTAATCACAGGAGACCGACAGGTAGAAGCAAATGATCATTTACCTAGCTGTTTGCAGGTGACTTCTGAGCAATGTTTTTCCCAAGTCTGGAAATTCCATTTTGCAATGCTGTTACTTTCTTTGGCAACTGAAAATCCTGTAAAAATAAAAGACATTTAAGTGAAATAGGAGAAAGATTAGCATATGTATGCAATATAACCATCCCTCATAGTTAAAGTGATCCTAACCCAAGCACAAAAATGTAACATATTGTTGCTTACCAGTGCTCCGATGTGGTGGCTGCATTTTTTTATTTTTTTTTCAGGTTTTTCTCCCTTTACTTTCTTGCACCAAAAGTTTTATTAAACATAGTGGGAAAAACATACAAACCAAGACAACTCACATACAAAGCAGCACTAGACAACAGAGGTCAAGGAAGCACCATACAGAGACACAGGAATACACAAGGCCCACACAGGGGTCCAGATGGCACATTATAAGGCAGAGGGCTGAGAAGCCCACAATCATGTTATAGAATACACAAGATATATTCAAGAAAAGCATCTTCTCCCTTTACTTTCAACTGGTGATCCTGCCAGTAACTCACTTTCTGTCCTAGGATGACAATGCTCACTCCCTAAAATTAAGGCGCATCAATGTCACCCTAGGAGAGGAAGTGTGTCAGGACTAAGGAATCCCTCCCACTATTCTTAAATCCATAACATGGGGAGGAGGGGGGGTTCTGTGGTAACCTGTGCTGCAAGGCTGACGGTCTGATATACACTTTAGGGTTCACAGAACACCGGATTTCTGGCAGGATCAACACATATTGAAATTATATAAGAAAACATTTTTTATGATATATTATGAATGCTATTATGAATGTTGTTCTAATATGAATGCGGATGCCAGGCTTATACATCTTACTAACCGATCCATGACTCCTGCCTCCCTCTGCCAAGCTTTTCACTGACACCCACTAGTCCAATGTATAAAGTTCAAAATACCAACCACAACATATAATGCTATCCACAACATTGCCCCCAGCTATATCACCCACCTTATCTGCAGATATCGCCCAAATTGTCCTCTCTGGTCCTCCCAAAATGTGGTTGTTCTTTAGCTCTCTTATTACCTTCTCCCATGCTCGCCTCCAGGACTTTTCCAGAACCTTTCCCATCCTCTGGAACTCCCTACTCCTGTATGTCCAGTAAGCTCCTACCCTGTCCGCCTTAAGGCGATTCTTGAAAAACTCACTGATTCAGGAAAGCCTACCCAACTTCCACCTAAAAAGCCGTACTTGAGTCTCCTCCATCAGATCATCCACCACAGCTAATACATTTTGGACCATCTCCCCCTCCTCAATTGTAAGCTCCACGAGCAGGGCCCTCCTATTCCTTTAATGCTAATGAACAGGAAGCATTAGAGCAGTGTAACGTTACCTGATCATATGAGGGAGTGTTATTGTAGTCAGGGATAGAACAGTGGCATAGTAGTTAGCACCACGGCCATGCAGCACTGAGGTTCTATGAATCCCAACCAGAACACTACCTGCATGGAATTTACATGTTCCTCCTGTGCCTACAGGAGTTTCCTCTGTGTGCTCCAGGTCCCTCCCACTTCAAAGATATGGTGGTAGGTAAATTGGTCCTTATTTGTGTCTATAAATTGACTATGCATGTGTTATCATATTCTGCATGCTGGTCCCAAGATGAGCAATTGGGGAGGGTTGAGGAAACTCACCAAGAAAGTTCTATGGAATCAGACATTGCCAATTGTGAGATACAGTTGCAAGAAAAAGTATGTGAACCCCTTGGGATTACGTGGAGTTTTGCATGAATTGGGCATAAAATGTACTCTGAACATCATCTAAGTCACAACAATAGAAGAACACAGTCTGCTGAACATAATACTACACAAACATTAGATGTTGCCATGGTTTAATTGCACATAACATGTAAACATTCACAGTGCAGGGAGGAAAAAGTATGTGAGGCCCTAGCTTAATGACTTCTCCCAGAGCTAATTGGAGCCAGGAGTGAGCCAACCTTGGCTCCAATCAGTGTGATGATATTGGATGTGTTGCTGACAGCTGTCCTGCCTTTAAAAAACACACACCTCTTTTGGGTTTACTGGTTTCAAGAAGCACTGTCTGCTGTGAACCATGCCTCGCAGAAAAGAGCTCTCAGAAGACCTATGATCAAGAGTGCTAAACTTTCTCCATTTGTAGACAGTCTGTCTTACCATGGACACATGAACATCAAGGCTTTTGGAGATACGTTTGTAACCCTTTCCAGCTTCATGCAAGTCAACAATTCTTGATCGTAGGTCTTCTGAGAGCTCTTTTCTGCGAGGCATGGTTCACATCAGACAGTGCTTCTTGAAACCAGTAAACCCAAAACAGGTGTGTGTTTTAAGGGTAGGACAGCTGTCAGCAACACATCCAATATCATCACACTGATTGGAGTCAAGGTTGGCTCACTCCTGGCTCCAATTAGCTCTGGGAGAAGTCATTAAGCTAGGGCCTCACATACTTTTTCCTCCCTGCACTGTGAATGTTTACATGTTATGTGCAATTAAACCATGGCAACATCTAATGTTTGTGTAGTATTATGTTCAGCAGACTGTGTTCTTCTATTGTTGTGACTTAGATGACGTTCAGAGCACATTTTATGCCCACTTCATGCAAAACTCCACGTAATCCCAAGGGGTTCACATACTTTTTCTTGCAACTGTATGACTGGAGATGGATAGAGACAGACACGCACGCACACTATAGAAAGTAGTGATGCACCGAAATGAAAATTCTGGTACCGAAAATTCAGGATGCACTTGACCGAAAATTAAATTAATATTTTTTTCAAAGGCAATTTTTTGGGAGGAAGATTTTAATGATTAACCTCTTCACGCCAACAGTACGCAAATATGCGGCCTCTCAGCGGCTGGGCCATGACGCCGAACGGCCGCATATTTGCATACAATTTGTAAACAAATATTTGCTGAGAGCACGCGCCCTGTACGCTCCCAGCACTTGTGTCTGTTCCCCACGGAAAGGTCACAATCTCTCCTTGCGATCGGGGCATTACCGATCATGTGACTGCCGTGACAGCCAACCACGGTGGTCACATGACTCTAAACCCCCCTTCTGGCGTCAGAAACCCCTTAAAGGGCCAGGAGGCGCCGGCATGAAGGGAAAAAAGGAAAAAACAGAATATATATAATCACTTTTTATAAAATTTATTATGAAATATTATGTTATGCTGAATACATAGATACAAAACATGTCATGCTTTAAAATTGCGCATGCTCGTGGGATGGCGTCAAACTACGGTACTTAAAAATCTCCATGAGTGACGCTTTTAAAATTTCTACAGGTTACCAGTGTAAAGTTACAGAAGAGTTCTTGAGCTAGAATTATTGCTCTTGCTCTGACGTTCGTGGCGATACCTCACATGTGTGGTTTGAACATAGTTTACATATGTGTGCGTGGCCTCACTACGTGCGTGCACGGGGGGACAATTTGAACTTTTTTATCTGTCCCTTAAAAAAAAAAAAAGTCATCACTTTATTTCCTATCACAAGGAATGCATGCATTCCTTGTGATAGAAATAATTAGTGACAGGTTCTCTTTATGGAGAGATTATGAGGTCAATAAGACCCCACATCTCTCCTCTACAATGTAAAGCATTAGATCAAAAAAAAGCATTGATCTAGTACTTAAAAAAAAAAAAAAAAAAAAATACCTCTGATATGTGGACATCAATGCATCTCTATAGAAAAAGTAGAAGTTGCCAATTAATTTGCCGTGTCATGTGGTACAATATTGAAGGTTATGATGACATACAGTTTCTGGGAAAATGCTGCCTGATAAGCATAGGCGTGGTCAGCTGACTGAAAGACACAAAAAGAGGACATTGCACAGGATTGTGACCCAGAATAAGAAAACAACTGCTGCAAAAGTGACTGCAGAGCTCAATCTCAGTCTTCCAAGGGCCCAGTCTTCCCAGGACTGAGATTGAGCTCTGCAGTCACTTTTGCAGCAGTTGTTTTCTTATTCCGGGTCACAATCCTGCACAATGTCCTTTGTGGCTCTTTCGGTCAGTTGACCACGCCAACCATGCCTATGCTTATCAGACATCGATTTCCCAGAACCTGTCTATACCGTCATAATCTTTGATCCTGGACCTCACAACATGGCATATGAATTGCCAACCTCAGCCACAGAGGCACCAGCTAAGCCGCCACCAACACTTCACCCTCCATGAAGCCGAGTAAGCTCTGACATGACTCCATATTACTAGCAGCGCACACAGTGAATGATGAAAGTGAGCCTTCCCACCTGGTGTCTCATCACACAGCAGTGACAAAAGTACGTTCCATCACTTTCAACGTGAAACATGTCGTCACTGCCACACCTGCAAACCATGTAGTGTGTCCAAGCCCTGCATATAGACATAGAATACCTCATATACTTACATGGGTTCCCTCATACACAGAATACCATGTGCATACATAAACATCTCATCCACAGACTGTACAGGGGATCCCTCCCACACAGGACTCCACACAGACTGTACATGGGATCCATCCTACACAGGACACCACACAGACTGTACACGGGATCCATCCTACACAGGACACCACACAAACTACACGGGATCCCTCCTACACAGACTGTACACGGGATCCCTCCTACACAGACTGTACACGGGATCCCTCCTACACAGACTGTACACGGGATCCCTCCTACACAGACTGTACACGGGATCCCTCCTACACAGACTGTACACGGGATCCCTCCTACACAGACTGTACACGGGATCCCTCCTACACAGACTGTACACGAGATCCCTCCTACACAGGACACCACACACACTGTACATGGTATCCCTCCTACACAGGACACCACACAAACTACATGGGATCCCTCCTACAGACTGTACACGGTATCCCTCCTACACAGGACACCACACAAACTACATGGGATCCCTCCTACACAGACTGTACACGGGATCCATCCTACACAGGACACCACACAAACTACATGGGATCCCTCCTACACAGACTGTACACGGGATCCCTCCTACACAGGACACCACACAAACTACATGGGATCCCTCCTACACAGACTGTACACGGGATCCCTCCTACACAGACTGTACACGGGATCCCTCCT